ATTATTTCAAGCTTTTAATGATATACTCACTCTAGGGCTTCCAAAGTGCAGCACTAGCAAGATTAAGGGATTATTTTTCAGATTTTGGGATAGAAAAATGTTTTAATTTGCTAAGCAAGGAAAATTTGCTAATCGACTATACAATTCGTAACTTAGTTGTAATCTTCTGTGGAAACTTAGGTCAGAGACTTTTACGTAAAATAAAAGAGAACGAGGTTTTTCTGAAATCAGTATTTCAAAAGGGCTAATAAATATGAATATTATACATATATATATATATAATATATATATATATATACATTTATATACATTTATAGCAAAATTAATCCATTATTTTTACATTAAATTGAGAGTAATTTCATAATGCCACTTTTCTAGGAATTCTGGTTCATATTGGCAAACATCTGGGACAGTCTCAGGCAGTTTTTACAAGCTTCTGGCAGGTCATTACCGATGAATATGGCCTGGCGTTCTTCAGGTAGAAGACAAGGGTCATAGTAGATGATTCCCTGCCAATTCCAAAAACATATAACAAAACCTTCCTGTTCATCATTCCTGGCGGTTCTTGGTTTTTCCTGAGGTTTTTTGCGTTAACTTATGTGCTACCCGTACATCGAGCTGCTGTTTGTAACCAGCCTTTAAATGGCTCTAAATGGTTTTTTGTGTAATGTTTACCTCTTAGGTAATCTAAACAGTGCTTACATAAAAGTCAGACTCGACGATTTCCATAATTTCATCGATATTTTCTATACCGGATAAGGTATCATACAGTATTCAAGCAGAGCTAAAAAATTGGTGTAGAAACTGATACATAAAGAGGTCATCAAAATTTTTGTGGAAAATCAGACGAACTAGCTTTACATAACTACTTACTTTACTAGTAACATAATCAGCCCCGACAATTACCGGAACTTTAGGCTTTCATTTTTCTAACTTGAAGGAGGTTTTAGCTAAACGGTCCACAAAACTACTTTGGTGAGTGCTGCCAGAAAACAATTACCCCTCAGGCTTCACCTATCAGCTGATTGTAGAATATGCACTAATATGCGTTTTACGAATTAAATAGTTAGACAACGTATTCTGAATTAGAGTTTGCATATATCGAAAAATATAATTTTTGGTGATATATCAATTGTCTGCCATATCAAGATTCAGAAAGTTTTAGGAAAATCGTTAATTTAGTCAAATTTGGAAATAGAGTTGCCACGCATCTAAAAAAAATTTGATTAATTAAGTGTGTCAAATAAAAAAAATATTAAAAAAAATCATCCAGAAAACTTAAAAATATGCTTAATTTTAACAATGCTTGGAATAGAGTTACCCACATGTTTATTTATGAGAAAAATTTTAAAAACAAGAATAGGTTTCTTCACTAGCGTTCAGTTAGAAATCCGTTAGAAGGTTCTACGACAAACCCTTCTACCCTTTTTTCTGGGTATTGGACCAAACCAATTTCGAGAGATTGATTCATAAGTACAGTAATTTTTCCATTCTTCGAATTTATCCTGTAAAATTAAAAAATTTCCTTCGAAGTTAGATAAGGCTTATTGAAAAACATTATTATTAATTACAAGTTTAAGTATATATACAATCCAGGTTTGCTGGTATGGCGAAATTCGCAATATTATTTGGGCTACCCTCCCATTAAACTTCAATCCGGGACTGTAAAAGTAGAATTTCTAACTAACAAAATTTTTTCTCAGAAAATTGTGGCTTTGCATTTCATTTTACTTCTGAAAACTTTTCTTCCATTATTTCCCCTAATCACATCTCTTTAATTAGCACCTGCAACTTTTGTTACATTACACCTTTTGCCACCAGCACTTTACCACCTGCACAGCCGAACAAATAACCCGAGCAAGACAGAGAATTCTAAATGACACCAATTAAATTCGCCTGCAATCGGTTAATTGTGAAATTTGTGGCATTTCAATTAAGTGTAGCACTCAATTAGCAAAGCATCAACACCATTCAAATAATGCAAGCTCACTTTCAAAGCATCTTCGGCAAAGATCAAGTGAATAAAACAAGCTGGCGGAATGTATAAATTGACATAAAAGCGATGAGAAGAGAAAGAGGGCGCACGTAATGGCGAGCAATTAACAAAAATAAATATAAAAAAAATAATTTTACACACGAATGCTTAAAAAGTTTTCGAGACAACTCTTGTGCGTCTATTAACGCAGCCGACACTTAACCTCAACAAAGTGGCAAGGTGATGGTATTCTAAACTTATAAGCACTTAAGTGAAGCTGTAAGTACTCATATTTGTACATGTGTATGTCTAAAAAGTAAATATGAAAAAAAATCATAAAAATACCGTTGGAAAAAGAGAAATGAAAGCTGCAGCCAATGCGTCTAACTAAACACCAGTGGGAATGTAAGAGTACACGCATGCGCATACGTCAATTATATATACATATATCTCGCAGCAGTGTTGAACTTAATAATTTGATAGGTATTTGTTATGGTTAAATGATTACAGCTGAAAGTGCATTTCTCCACTGCAATAACTAAATAATATATATGTGTATACACGTGTATGTATATATGTATATATATCTGTCAAATGCTTGGCTAATATTATATATTGTCTCTGCTTTGAAGCGTGACATTGGACGTTGGCCGACAGTTGAACTTAGAAATATAAGTACATTTGGAAAGTTTTGAAATATCACTCAAATACTTCAGTGAAAAAAACAAAAAAAAATATTTTTAAAAATTGTTAAGATTTTGTTTGCCAATCGAATCAATTTAACTAAAAGAACTGTTGATGAAACTGGAGAATTATATATATCGTTCAAAAAATTACAGCCTGAGAGGATAAGGCCAAAACTTATTCTGTAATATTAGACTAAAACCAACTCAAATAGCACTGAAGCTATAATACCCTTCAACGATACATTTCTTATAGCATAAAAGCGTATAAAATGATCTGTATCTTGATTTTGATCGAGCAGTTTGTATTGCAGCTATATCCTATAGTGGTTCGATATCGATGATTTCGACAATTTCAGATTGATATCTCAAAAACTTAGAGACTTGTTCGTATATATACCGACAGAAAATTTACGCCGTTTGTCACGCTGATCATTTATATACTATATACTTTGTAGGGTCTCCAAAGTTTCCCTCTGAGTGTTACAAAGTCAAAGACCAATACGCACAGCTTTGCAATAAATAGATAAATTTCCAAATTTCAATACAATGCTAAACTCGTACCGAAAGACCTGAATCTTTAAAAAAAAATACATCGAGTAAAGGTCGCAAAACAGATGCTTCACAACGGGTCCGGGTCATATTTGATCAGATAGTAGACGAAGAGATAATTTGGTTTCAACATGAACCTAATCAACTTATTGTTTAAAGACTGAAGTCAACCTCAGCTCAGCTCAGAAGTCAAGGAAGACGCCCAGATAAAAATTTACGTCTTCATTTGGTTTCCCAACCGAAGCAATTTTATATCTTACTTTTTGGGTGTGAACACTTATGCACTAAATTATAGAGATTTGAGAGAAAAGTGGTTAGGTTGTCAAAAACGATGATTTCCAACCATTTACTACACAAATTTAAAAGTAATTCTGCTTTCTGGACCAACCGATTTCAATGTAAAAGTGACCCTTGAGACCGAATACACAATTTTCTTACTATCTGTTTTCGTGTTATCAGTTTGCAATGTGGAAAAAGGTCAATCAAAAATATGTTAATTATCTTTCTAATGTCTAACCGAAAGAAACAATTGTTGTATTCAATTGTAGCTGATTCGACCAAGTTTCCTCGAGTGTATTCTACGAAAGATAGGCAAAACCAAAATCGCAACATGGGATGATAAGTTCAAAACCAATATGAAGGTACATCGAACATTCGAAAGAGATCCAAAAACAAGTACTATAAAATTTTCTATAGTCCTATAAGAATTAAATTATCCAAAATATAACTGTACAAGCAAACATTTGATAACTTCCGGATGTCTAAAAAGTTCTCTTTCAATTGAACTAGTAATAACTAAAACAGGTAAGTATCTGTAGAGTCAAACTCTAATTTGCCCAACAAGCAAGCAAACGTAGTATGAATTGAAATGAGACCATAGAACATCTCCTTTGCATATAAAAGGCTTTGTAGGTGTCTCGGAGGCTGCAGGAACACAGGCTGATTGAGATGGGACATAATAGAGTGAGGGGACTTTAATCTCGGTAGTTTCACAATGGGCCTTCTAAAGGCGTAATTGCGTCGTCAGACACCTACTCTACTTACCTACCTAAGGCAGAGAAAGATATTAACTTTTAGGATAGAACTGAAGTTCTGAGTGGCGGATCGATTTTTACGAGAAATCTTTTTAGGTTAGGAACTGGACCCATGAAGAATAATAGTCCCTTTATAGGTATCATTCAGCTTGTGACATTAGCCTGGATATTATCAGTAAAGTTGAAGGTCCGCTGAAAGTTGCTAAAGCCACTTAAAAATTTAGAATGGATTTTTTGAGGAGTTTTTTCAATACAGAATTGACTTAGAGGTTTGCCATTGCTTACATTGATAGTCGACTAGGTAGTTCAGGAATTGAACCAAGGTTCGCGCAGTAGTTGCTCGCACCTCTAACCACTACACAAAATCTATAGGGAAATTATTTTAAGCACAAGCATTACTCATTCCCAACATTATATGTCCATAAATCTTCAACACTTATAACCTCAAATGAACTCTTAATTGGTAATTGTCGTAATGATTAATTGGCATTCACAAGGGACACGATTTCGGTTTTAGCTACAAAATTACCTTAATTTATTTGCATAAACATAAAAAGATGTTTCCAGCGAACTGTGGAAGCTCGCCTAGAATTTCACTTTCAGTGGGCCTGGCGACAACTCGAAGATGAAAGGTAATAGCATTCAACTCTGCTATTATTCCTACACAAAGGCTTAACTTTAAATGCTTATTTTATGAATGCGTAAAATATATTGGTGTGTGTGTGTAGTATGAAAGCCATGAGATAACTCACTCACCTGCAATCAAAAACTGAAGCGAATTCGATTAGCTTTGCTTGGCAATTTGTTCAGTGGTTAATAGAAAAACGCCTACACGCGCGTACGCCAAAGCTTAGTTCAGGCTATAAAAAGCGAAACAGCGAACAAAAACAAAAAACAAACAGTGAATTCCGCAGACGTCGCAGGCGTTGATGGCAACAACTGGCTGCAGGCGAACGTCGGACCAGCGATTAAAATGTCTTGCACGCTCGTTCGTTTTGCGCTCGCCCAGCGACTGTGAAAATTTCTGATTACCGGCGTTGTGGCGACTGCTGGCCAATTTATTCACACGCTTCAATTTGATTGGTACCACAACGCTTTTTTACGGTTGTTGTGATTGTTGTTGTTGGTGTGCGCGTGACACATAAATATATATTTGGGCAGCTGGGAGAGGAGCGGAGCGGAGCTGTTGTAAGGTCTCCACGGACGTTGGCAACCGGAGAAGCGCAAATTTGAGGTTGTAAAAAGCCGCTACAACAACAATTTTGAATTATTAGTGTTGTAAAATGTTGACCGCAACTTTGCTGGCGCTGCGCGAGTGTTGGCCGTGTGATATGAGCTATGCTATTTCCTGCTGCTCCCTGGCCTTTTGTTTTTGTTGTTGTTGCTGCTGCTGCTGCTGGGAATTCCTTAAGTGAAAATCGCAAAGAAGCGCATAGGCCGCGTTGTTAAAAAACTTTTTTGTTGTTGTTATTTTTTTTTTAATTTTTCATTCGTTTCGTTGCTTGTCGGCTCAAGCTGCTTGCAGTTGTTATTATTATTAGTTGTTTTTGTGATTGCGCATAGTTTATCTTTGTTTTAGTTAAATTGTTCTTTTTTCTTTCGATTTTTTTTTATGTAAGTTTTTCTTTTGCGATTTTTTTCGCTCTGTCTTTTTGTTTTATTTATTTTTCAATTTGCTACTTGGCGGCTGCAAGTGGGTCACACATATACAGCTCACAAATACACACATACACAAAGCCATGCACACTCACTAACTAGTTACCTTGAGTCTAAATACTTGCCACATGCAACAACAAACGGCATGCAGACCAGACGTCGTCTTCTCCTCGTCGTGGTCGCGCAACAGGTGTAAAAGAGTGTAAAGAAATTGGCGAAAAAGGCAGAAATTGACAGAATGGAAATGGCAAAAAAATGCAGTTCTTCTTCTATTTCGTTTGTTTTTGACTTTGCAACTAATAAAATATTATTTGCAATTGTTTTTGTATTGGAAATAGTTGTAAAGCGATAGAAGATGAGCACAGGAAGCGATAGTTGTTGTGAAGTTAAAGTTGCTGAGATGCGAAGTTGTAGTAGCTGAGGCAGCAGCGTTAGCTACAGAAGATGAAAGAACGAAATGAGTCCAATTGTTTAATGATAAAATAAAGTGATGTTGATGCAATAAGTGTAAAAATGTTTTATTAGGAAAAAATATTATATAATATAATTATATATGAAATTATTATTATTATTCTTTTATTTGATAATTAATTTTGCTTTTATTTAATGATGACAATTCAGTTAACTGAAATTTTTGAAAATTATTTATTTGTTAATTAATAGCACTTCGTTAAGCAAAATTATTAATTTTTAAGTATGTTTGTTAAATTTCTTTTCATTTACGGCGAAAACATGTTATTTTATTTGAATGTTTCATAAAAGAAAATAATTGTTTTTATGCTAAATTTTAATTTATTTAGTTTAATGGAATAATTTTATTCATAACCTACTTTAATAAATTAAAAATTAATTATAAAATATTTAAATAATTAATTAGAACTTTAAATTTTGGAAATTTATAATTTTTTATTCCCTGAACAAGGCATATTAAGTTTGCGACGAAGTTCGGAAGAAATCGTCGGACCCTTTATGACATATACAAGTATATAGAAGTTATCCACATGACGAGCTAAGTCGACTTAGTCATGTCCGCTTGCAAATTTTTGAAATATTGATCCAAAATTTTGAGCACATTTTCTCTGATCGATCAGTGCTAAGTTCTTGTATGAAAAACTTTTTTATTTGATCTTCATGATGGTACATTTGGTATGGATTATTGTCAGAAACGATATAACCTCCGATTAAATTTTTTCATATCGGAGCACTATAATATATAGCTGTCATACAAACTGACCGATCAAAATTTAGTGCTTGTATTGAAACTTTTTTATAAAGGGTATATGCTTCAATGCAACCGAAGTTAACCTTTTTTTCTTGTTTTTAATTGTGTTCATTATTTAAAAAGAAATAATATTTATAAAATGATATGAACGAATATTTTTTATATATTATAATACTATATCATATTATATTCAAATTAAATATTTCGAAGAAGTATTTATTTTACACCTTTTATGAACATATATTTTTGTTTAAATTGCTTTTTTTTTAATTATTATTAGGAAGTTAAAAAATGTATAAATTATTATTTATTTTATTTTTATTTTATATTTTTCCATATATGTTAAATTTTTTTGTTTTACTATGTAAATATAGTATAATTTAAAATTTAATTGATATTTTCTTTGTACTATTTTCTTTATCTCTTCATAGGCCTTTAAATTTTCTTTAAATAAATTATATTTTTTTAATAAAACAATATATTCCATTTTAACAAAATTAATAAGATATTAAACAAAATGGAAATTGTTTAAAAAAAATATTTTTATTATTTAATTTATTAATTTTAAGGTTTAATTACGTTCAATGATATTAATATGTTATTATTTACTGTTATTGATTAACATCAAAAACAAATTTAGTAAAAATATTCTTTTAATGCTTGTTTAACAACGTAAAATTATTTGTATCCTTTATATTCCTTTTTTGTTAAATTTTGAATGTTTTATAAATTTTTCTAATCGTAGTCGACAGTGATAAACAATTACTTAACATTTTGGCAAATTCCATTATTAACTATTTTATTTATGTTATAATTACACAATTACCCGAATTTAATGTTATAATTATTTTTTATTTTAAACAACATTTTTATCATTTATAATTTTAAAAATATTTAATTTAATTTTTTTTTTTTAATATTGCTTTATTAAAATTTAAAACTATAATTTCAATTATATTTATTTTTTTCTTATTGTAAAAGTTATATTAATAGTATTTCTGCTTTTAAATTTTATTTAAAAAAAATTAAATATTTAATTGTTAGAAAAAAAAGAAAACTTTTTTTTTTACCTTAAAAAAATTAATGTTAATTATATTTATTTTTTTGTAAATGTTAGTAAGTTATATACATCTTAATGATGCTTTTAAATTTGATACAAAAATTACTTTTCCATTTTCCTTTAAGAATAAATAATTTTAAGAAAATCGAATAAAAAAATTATTACTTTCTGCATTTGAAAATTAGAAAAAAATATATATTATATTACTTAATCAAATGTATATTTTATTTTAACCTTTGGTGTTATTTTTTATAATTATTAATTTGAACATATATTTTTTTAGTTTTAGTACTTTGTGTTTTTGTTTTTATAATTATTTTTAAAAAAAATTAATTATTAATATTATATAATAGTTTTTCTTTTATTTTATTACATGTTTAGAATAATTTAATTAATTAATTTCTTATATTATACTGTATTAATTTTCTCTTTCAAAATATGGGACAAATAAAATATGAGGTATTTATCAGAAACAGAATTCTGATTAGTTAAAAAAAAATCAGATGAAGTAAAAATTCGAATTAAGTTTTTTTATAATTAATTATATTTTTATTTCATTTAAGTTTTTTTTTTAATTTGTTTAACTTATTAGTTTTTCAAACTCATTGTAATTATTATATTTTTTACCATTTTATATAAATTTTTTTTTTATTTTACTTAATATTATTTAGTTTCTCATACATATATATTTTTTTATTGCTCAACTTTCACGAACGCCTTAAAATCTTAAATTGCCAACTTTTAGCATGCACTGTATGTCCTTAAATATGTAAGTAATTAACATAAATTTCAAGTCACAAAAGTTTAACACCTTTTTCAAATCACTTTTTGCTTGCGCCGACAGTTAATATACATGGCATTATCCTTGCACTTTCAACGAATCGTGTTTCGCCGAACTAAACAATATGTCATTATATTATTTTGCTAAGAAGTGATCGCTTTTTCATTTATACACATTAACCGCAGCTTCAGATATTTCAAAATGATTTATAAGTGTTTAAACGTTTTCGAAAATACTCGTTATTTTCTCAATTGTTGGTTAAGAATTCGAAATGCTTTTACGCGACGTCGTTTTTGAGCGCGTCTGATCGTGGTCGTGGGTAACCGCAGAATGGTAAACGCACCTGCTTTCACATAGCGAAACACTTCGCATGTGCGCTTGCGCACCGCAACAGCAGCCATACAGACACACACACACCAACATGCAGACGTGCAGCCGAACAGCAGCAGCAATAACAGTGGCGGCGAAATTTCTTCGTTCATTGACGATCGCTTTGTCGCTGATGCTGCTGTTCAAGCTGCTTGCTGCCAATATGTGTGGTGTTGCCACTTCTGCGCGGCTTGTTTTTGTTGTTGGCTGGGCTGTTGGCACCCTGCCTTCTACCACCACCACCGGCAAATCATCAACAATTATTATTGTATTTGTTATTGTTTTGGCTGCCGTTGTTACAGCGCTGCACTCAGTGCTGAGGCGGCAACCGGCAGTTTAAGTATCCATCCGACTGGCTTGCGCAGCTTGTTGTTTTTGTAGACTCTTGGTTTGTTTTTGTTGCCTAATTTGCAGTTGTAGCTTACTTTACTTTTGCTGCATTACAATATAAAATATATTGCGCTCTTGTGGTTGGCGTTTGGTTGGCAAGTCTCCTTAACTGGCTGCTCATAGTCAACACTCAAATTATTGGTTTTGTGAACTTGGCACTTAATAAACACTCCCAATGTTTATTTACAATGTTTTAGGTGTTTAGTGCTTTATGCTACCATTTTCCTATCTCATCTAGTTTTTCACTTTTCCTTCGTTTACTCGTTATTGTCAGAGGTGTTTGTTTTTGTTTTATTTTGTGGAGGTGTGGATTTAGTTAATCAGTTTCTGGGCTCACTAGCAACTCTACGCAGTGATTTCCTTAAGCAGCTCTTGTTGAACTTACACAAACAGAATTATCGTTTGCTCTTGAGAAAACTGCCGTTATTTTAAAGTGTCAAGGTATATATGGTTTAGGTATGGTACATTTATATTAAGCCTATCCTTGTAGGAGAAATCTATGTGAAGCTTCGTGACTGCAACAGGTGGGTGGGATACCGGAACTTACGAAACCATCTTAGCGTAAAAATATTATATATCTCTGCTTCTCTGCTTCTCTCTCTAGTATTCAATGAATGAAAGTGAAAGTCCAAGATTTAGCAGGAGAATGAAAGTCGAAGAGCAATTGAACCACTTTTTCTTCATCCCTGCTGAACTCTCAATTTGCATGTTCTTTACCCGAAAACCACCTATAAATTTTCATTTTTTTTGTAATCTCGAAAAGACGACGGAGTAAGCATCTGCTTTCACTCGACACTCCCCTTCTGAAGCTATATCCAGAAGTCTAGAGTTATCCATAACTATCGCTGCTTAAATTTTTAAGCGGTCTAGCCTACTCTGACTAGATGGCCTAGTTCACTCTAGTTTAATAATCTGATAAACTTCAATAGCTATAGAAATAGCCGTTAGATATTTAATAATAAAATCAATGCTATATTCAGACCCTTCAAAAGGTACTAATGCTTACATAATCAAATCTATAAATGTATGTGGTTTTAGATGATTTTCTAATTAAAAATATATTTAAGTATTCCTCAATGACCATTCACAACTGTTCTACTATCTGATAAAATTCGAGCCGATTTTATTGTCGCCTTCAATATAGGCTCCTGAGCCAATACAAGCGTGCCAACGGTTAATCTATTGCATTTTCCACACACTTGTTATAAGCATCGGTTGGGATTGCCTTCAGTGCCTTCACCAAATTTTTTGGTTTCTCCGGTTTCGGCTTATTTTTGAAGCCACTTTCGCTAGATTGTTGGACGTTTTCGACATCATATTCATAAACCCTCGTCTTGTCAGCTGTAATGATGAGTTTGATGAATATAGGATTCTCAACTACATTGTCCAGCTTCTCTTTTGCCACCGCTACTCGACGTCTTTATTCCTAAAACATTAACCAAAATGTATTAAGTCTTTCTATAAGAGATATTGCGATCATCTGCTTTCTTTTAGATACCAGCACGATGACTTACATGCATGGTTTCTTTAACTTTTTCGATGTTATTGTTATTAAAAGAGGTTGAAATTCGCATGAGGCAAGTTTTCGGTGACTTCACGACCTTCAACAAATGCTTTGTGGCACTCAGACACTTGGGTTCGTGATAAAGTTGGCATTATTTGAGATATCGATTTAAAAATTTAGTATATTATTTTTAAAAATATATAAACTATTGAAACCACGAAAAAAATATTTACTTTAAATTTCAAACTTGGTGTGCCCTTAAATTTTCTCGACTTCTGCCCCGTGATACCGAATTCACTGAGATGTCGGGAACTTCAGTTTCATTTATCTGCTCTTTATAGCAGAAATAATATATATGCTCTTAATTAATTTTATTTACGTTATACGAGTCCCCCTGTATACTGACTATATGCAAATAATTTGGCACGGATAATATTGAAGATCTAACATAAACAATATTATGTAAATTGATTATAAATATTACCGTTAAGAGAGTTACAAGTAATTTTAAGTAAGACAAAGGCTATTGTGGCGTTAAGCCGTTATGTCTACAAATATTGCATATGTGTATGTGCATATTAAACAAATATTTCCCATTAAGCTAAGTAAAACTATTAAACAATAATTAGTTTTAGGAGTCAAAATACGCTGCGGTATTTTAAGCTTAATTTTTTTTTTTTATATATGTATATTTTTAAGGTATTTATGCCTGCCTGGTAAATATGTCTGCAACTATTATTTAAATTTGGAAAATAAACTTTGGTATTTACATATATAAATGTATGTAAATACGTTGAAAAGTGTTTTAAGGCTGCTAATGTTCGAAGTCAATATTTGATTGGTTCACATCTGATTATATAGATACAAACTGTATATTCTATGATTACTGAGTTATCTCAGCAAAAAACTTTAGATCATTGACCCTTGTGCTTATATCGGCTTTAGCAGCGGTGCCATATATCACACCAACCGCTAACGGCCAGCAGTACCAACTTCAAATCAAACTTCAATTTTTTTTAGCCAGACGAAGAACTCCTTCGTCCAAATTTAAAAGTTTCGCCAAATGCGACACATTTTATTCCGTTTACCATCTGCCGCTTTTCCCTGCAGCTAAACAAGCTGTAAGAGATTTCCAAGAGCAGTGACTCACCGAGGACATGACATCGTCTCTGCCGTGCTCTTCGAAAACTATTCACTCTTTGGGTGACAGAGCACCCAGGAAACTAAACTTCCTACTTGTCCCTGGGGTGCTCCTTCCTGCATTAGGTTTGTATCAGTTGGTGTTTGGGTTTGGTTTTTTTTTTCTTCAGGTTTACTATGTCAAAAGGGAACAAGCGGAACCCATGACGCGATAAAGCCTTTGTTAGTTTCCAAGACGGCTCAGTTTTGGGAAGGTTGCGTTGTAATGCAGCCGAATTTTTCTTCTGGCTTCAATGCGCATGGACTCGCATAACACCCTGGATTAGGATGTGTTTTGTGTTTGAGAACCGCCTTGCTGCTCCCTTAAACCGATTGCCAAATACGGGATTGCGTTGTGATTAAAACCTATGCAACGTGATAAGGTGCGTGCCTTCACAGAGGACCTGCCGGTTTCTGAAGATGAGACCTCGAAGATGTAATGACTCCAACTGGATGACTCACATTCCTCTTCCTATCTATATGACTCCAAGTTTTCGGGTACGCCCTCTATTGATAGTTTTCGAAACCTTTTCTGTTACAGGACAAGTCCACTGCTTTAAGCAACTTTTAAAGGAGCTGAACGTTTTCGGGTAGCTTATGAAGACTGCGTTTCCAGTCGCATCAGAGCGGGCAAGTAATCTTTCTCAATTCCGTCTATACCTACATACATAGTTATATGTGTTACTGGACACCGACATAAAGTTTACCCACTAGTATATTTATTGCCTACTTGTACTTACATTACATTATGCAGTAAGGTCGCCTTAACGCAGGCATCGCCCTTCCGCTTAAAAATTCACTAATGGCTTGTAGATTTACTGCATAAAGCAAAACTCTATTCACTTGTCGCCTTCTCTTAATCTGATAATCGCCGGTGCTGCCGCTAATTGTATTTTCGATTTACTCTGCTCTTGAGAGAAAAAATATGTGTTTTTTTCTTAAAGAGGTCAGCTTTTCACAGTCGTATTGCCAATCTAGTCCGATATCAGCAATTAGTATGATCCAGTATAATGCTGTAGTGTCGCTAAGCCTGAGTCCAATGGCTCAAATTTTTGATCTGGTTTCTTGTAAGCGCTGCATCATATTTTACTTAAATATTGATTGTCCAAATGTCGAGACATCAAAAGTCAATGAGGTCAAGGTGCTTGTCTGAAACATTTCTGCTATAGTTGCAAATGGTTGCTATAAACCCGATATTAACTGATTAAGTGGACTCTACACCCGCAACCCAGACATTTGCAAAAACAACAATCGATTAATAATAAAAAATACCCCACAATTAATGTTTAAACAGTGCATCATTTATTCATACCCCATATTTTCTGAAAACGGTACTCTATTCATTTGCAATAAATGCGTTGTAAAGCAAACACAATAACATGAAGTGCACGCCAATATTAAGCAATAAAAGCAAATAAATACATAAATACAACAATAATCAATGATTGCTCACACTCGCATACACACACATATATATAAATATGTATTTATTAATTGGTGTGAGTATTGTAAAATAACAATAAAAACATAGTACGCATACACAAATTAATATCGATCAGATTTCATTCATGCAATTTGCTGTGATTTTTATTGCGTGTCCCACTTTTCCATAAAATATTTGCAAAACGCTTTTCCACATTTAGTAGAAGACTTTTCATCCGACTCGCGCCGCGGTCCTCGCGCCCGCACCAGCATCCTCGTGTGCATGTAGAGGCTGACGATGGTAGCAGTAGCGGAGATAGTGTTGTTGTTGTTTTTATTGCTGCTGGTGATGCCTGATGCCAATAACCATTTAGTTGTGCATTTGTTGTTGTTGCAATTTTTTATTTATGCACCAAGGCAACGCCGCAACAACAACTGACGACTTTTTTACAATGCAACACTATCACAACAAAAAAACAAAAAGCAACAACAGTATATTTGCCAGCCAAACAGACGGTCGGACCAGCTTGCTTGTTGGCCGATCCGAGGACAAAAATAGTGGTAGACAAAAC